ATAAGCCATGGCATGGTCTCACATGGAGACATATATAATGTCTTAAAAACTACACGAACAATTGTTAAATCATGGTGACATCTACCAATTAACATAAGACATGTGTACAACATTATCTACTTAACATTTTTGAAGTACAAATTTGCTCCTCTAATCGGGTCGGATTTTTTTTTCTGATTTTAACCCGGAAATCTTCATTTGGATATTTCCTTAAATTATGACAAAAATTAAAAACGAAAATACCTAATAAAATCTACATTATATATATTTTCTCAACTAATTACTATATCTAAACTCTTTGTTCATGGTATATTCTCTACAATTTTTATAGATAAAGAAATCAAATATGATGATTTAATGCTAATATAACAAATTTGAGCTAATTTCCAAAAACCACTCTACCCATTTTAAACATAAATATATGATTCTCATTTCACTTATATTTGATTTTATTTTTCTATTATTTTGAATTATTAATATATATAGTTAATAATTTTTTTTCTACATATGTTATGATTCAAATCTTTTAAAACGGACATATATTACTCAATCGATGATAAAAAAAATATGTGTGTAATCTATAGTAACATTTTTGAAGAACAAATTGCGCATTTAATCCAGTCGTTTTTTTTCTTCTGACTCTAAATTGAAACATTCGGATTTTTCCTTAATTTCTACAATTATAAAAAATGGGATAGTATACCACGGGTGAAATCCTAAAATTAAGAAATCAAAATACAATTATTTAGTATTTTAAGATACAATTATAAAATTTTTTATGGATTGGTCTAAAAACACACGCTAATTTAAATATCTACTTAACATTTTTGAAGTACAAATTTGCTCTTTCCAATCGGGTCGGGTTTTTTGTGATTTTGACCCGGAAATCTTCAATCGGATCTTTCCTTATTTTTTGGCAAAATTTTAAAACGAAATTAATTAATAAATTCTAAAAATATATATTTTCTCAACTAATTACTACACCTAAATTGTTTATTTTTGGCATATTCTTTCTGATTTTTATAGATAAGGAAACCAAATATGATGATTTAATGCTAATATAACAATTTTGAGCTAATTTCCTAAAACTTTGCTACCTAATTTAAACAAAAATATATGATTTTCATTTCACTTTTATCTGATTTATATTTATATTCTTTTGAATTATTATAAAATATATATAGTTAATAAAATTTTAGATTTTTTTCTACATATGCTATGTTTCAAAAAATTTTAAAACGGACATATATTACTCAATCAATCTACTTAACATTTTTGAAGTACAAATTTGCTCCTCTAATCGGGTCGGGTTTTTTTATGATTTTGACCCGGAAATCTTCAATCGGATCTTTCCTTAAATTATAGTAAAATTTAAAAACGAAAATCCATAATAAAATCTAAATTATATATATTTTCTCAACTAATTACTATATCTAAACTATTTATTTATGGTATATTCTTTACAATTTTTATAGATAAGGAAATCAAATATGATAATTTAATGCTAATATAACAAATTTGAGCTAATTTCCTAAAAACTCTCTACCTAATTTAAACATAAATATATGATTCTCATTTCACTTTTATTTGATCTTATATTTATATTATTTTGAATTATTATAAAATATATATAGTTAATAAATTTTAGTTTTTTCTGCATATGTTATGATTCAAATTTTTTAAAACATACATATATTACTCAATTGATGAAGAAAAAAAAAGTATGTGTGCAATCTATATTAACATTTTTTTAAGAACAAATTGCACATTAATCATGTCGTTTTTTTTATTCTGACCCGAATTGAGTCATTCGGATCTTATCTTAATTTCTACAATTATCTAAAACGGATACTACCACGGGTGAGATACTAAAATTAACAAATCAAAATACAATTATTTAGTATTTTAAGATACAATGATAAATTGTTTTTACGGGTTGGTCCAAAAATACATACTAATTTTAAACTATATATGTTATGAAAACCATTTGAAAGTAAACTTTTTAAATTGACTCAAATTATATGTCTTTTAAATAAAAGTGCTATTAAAAATAACAAAATGATGTTTAATTCCACATGACAAGAGTATATGGTGGGACGAGTTTGGGTCGATATTAATACGGGACAATATACCACGGATGAAATCTTAGAATTAACAAATCAAAATTCAATTATACAATCTTAAACAGTAAACAAAACAAATGCAACTTAAAATTTTATTTTTTATATACAACGCATGTGACCCGCAGTATACAAAAAAAAATATCATACACAACAAATTCATCAGTTTCTAAAAAAATATAAAAAAAATCAAATAATTAACCCGCGGTGTACCGCGGGTCATATCCTAGTATATATATATTATGGAAACCATTTGAAAGCAAACTTTTAAATTGATTCAAATTATATGTCTTTTAAATAAAAGTGTTATTAAAAAATAACAAAATGATGTTTAATTTCACAGGACGAGATTATATGGTGAGGCGGGTTTGGGTCGATATTAATACGGGAAAATATACCATGGTGAAATCCTAAAATTAATAAATCAAAATATAATTATACAATCTTAAACACTAAACAAAACAAAACAAATAAAACTTAAATTTTTTATTTTTTAGTTACAACGCATGTGATCCGCGTTGTACTACAAAAAATATTATACACAACAAATAAAAAGATAAAAAAAAACAAATAATTCATATCCTAGTAACCATACATTCTGACACTGATTTCGTCTAACGAACTATGATTTCCGGTATTGGTCGATTCAAAAAATACTTAGTGTGATTTTCTTTGATAAAACTTAAATAATCCTATACTATTATTTGGGGAGTACACTTTATAAGATACCCTTAACTAACCTTCCCTTTTGTGAAAATTTACTTAAAAATGCCATTAGAAATAAAATTTTATAGAGTAAATTAATTCAATTCATTAAGGATAAACAAGTCAAATACTATTTTATGCAATTTAATTAATTTAATTTAATTATAAAAACGAAAATCTATTATTAATTTTTTTTAAAAGAATGACCAATCAAAATGAACATATAAGATTTGATATCTAACTTATCACATTAATTTGTTATTAATCATTATACTTCACCTCTCATCTTTATATTATTCTATTTCAATAAAATAAATAAATTATTATATCATCTACATAATAAAAAAAAAGTAATTTTTTCCGCATATACAAATATTTGAATTTTTTAAAACGAATATAAATTGTTCAATGTATGAAAAAACAAATTTAACGGGTCAAAAATTCATATTTGAGTAATATATTCCTTTTTTAATATCATCAATACTTAATAGATCAAAAAGTTAAGAAATATAAATATTCTAATTTGATTTTTTGAAACAAATATTTATAATAGGCGGCGGGTTCAATATAATGTATTATATGAAGAAATGAGTTATGATCTTTATAACTATTTGAATATTTATATTTAATTTCATATATATATATATATATATATTTAAATTCATAATTTTACATACTACAATAAAAATTTTAAAGATTTTAATTTGGAACATTTAAAAAAAGTTTAATTTAATATATTAAAGAATATCATAAATATTTAATAGATTAAAAAGATAAAAAAATTATAAATACTAATTTAATTTTCTAAAAAGATATGTTTAATATATTTATAGTAGGCGGCGGGTTAAAAGTAATGTATTATATGATAGAAAGTTATGATCCTTATAATAGACGACATTTTAAGATTTTATGATGAGATGAGTTAAATAAGGTTTGACACTTCTAAATATTTAAAAATTTAATTCTGCAAGCAATTTTGGAAATAATGAATAATAGATTGTGCCACAATATTTTCATAGGGATTGTAAAATGAAAATATAGACTCCACACATGGATCGAATTTGGTATTATTATATACCAAATATATGTTCATAACATATTCGATTATGTGAATAATTGGTAAATTCCGTAATTAGGTCAAACAAATCTCTATTTCAACAACCAATGAATTAGAATTTGAAAAAATAATTTTCTAAATTAATTCAAAATAATAGCTAACTAACTAATTCAAAATAATCTACGTTTTAGATGCGATTCATTTATGATATTTTGATTTTTGATCTAACTAAATTATATGCACTCTCATTTTGTGGTTGTTAACATAAATTAACTCATTGTTCAAACAATATTATTTTTTTTGAAAATAATATTAATTTCCGTTCTCATATCTTTTAAAAATATATCCATAATTGAGGATTACAGGAAAAAAAAATATATTCATTCTAATATTATATATATGGACTGACATAAAAAATTAATATTTTTTACTTACTATTATAATATATCACTATTTTATTCTATAACTATATAATATATAAATTTTGTAATAAATGAAATTCAACCCGTACTGTAGTACGGGTGATGATCTAGTAAAATTGTAAAATACTGAACTCAAAAAATACGAAAGAAAAAAAATTGTAAAATATTCAACTAAAAACGAACAAAAGGAAGAAATAACTAAAAAACAGAATCAGAATTATGTTCAAAATTATACACATGATGATATATAAATCTTCGATAATTCAACGCATGTATAAGTTAATATATGTCACAACATTATTTTGAAAATGTATTTTTATTTATCTTTAGTTCAGTTTATTTTATTTTATTTTTGGATAAAATGTGAAATTTATATATCAAAATATTGAAGTATATGTACATGCATACTTAAAATAAACAAAGTAGAAGCTTAAAACAGAGCCGTATGACTCGTAAAACAGAGCATGATAATAGAGTTATAAGTAGTGGATATTTGAGGGAAGTGAGACATAAAACACTAGATAATATTTAGTTCAGTTTATTTATAAAATAAAATTAATAAGAAATTTTGGATTGTGAAACATTCCATATAGCCAACTCATATATGAATCATGACTAATTATGTTTTTTTTTTTTTTTTTTTTTTGTTAAAAGTGAATCTATAAAAACATAGATTTGAGAATCCAAATATAATTTACTTAAATTAATAGTTCATTCAAGTAAAATTCAACATAATATTTACATATGATTAGAATAAAGTTTACTAAATTCAACTAAACATAACTTGTTTTTTGGTATCAACTAAACATATTGAGGCAACAGTAGTGAATATGTTTTCTTCTCTTCCCTTGTATCTTCTTTACCCAGCTCCTCTTGTCTTTTTTGTTCCTTGAACCTCTTTGCCTCTCTAGCATTGATATCTCGAGCTCCAAATGTCACATTTTTTCCAATGTTGAAGTAGAAATCACTCAAGTCTGTCTTCTTTGTAACCTAGTAGAAGATGAAAACAAAGGAATATCAAAGAGTTGACATGAGTTTAAATAGTAACAAAAATAGAACTTGGGAATTATCCGAGTAAGCACGATATAAGGAAGGAGGAAATAGAACTTACATCATCTTTTTCTTCTAGAAGTTCAAGCAATCTTTCTTGTGACAGCCATTGTTCTCGTTCCTCTAGTTTCCTTTTATAGGCACCAGTAACAATCTTTACTTGATCTGGAAAAAGATGTTGGTCTTTGGCCCTCTCTTTGGCAAGCTTTCTTTCATAAACTATTTCACGTTCTTTCTGTCTACGGTCAGCCTGTTTCCTCAATAGCTGGGCATATCTTGACTTGCGCTCTTCACAATCATGCATTCGTGGAAGATATGCTTCTTGTTTCAAGTGATCATAAACTTCATCGTAAGCAAAAGCACAAGGGTCCTCCTCCAAGGCTTTCTTATGCTGCTCCTGAATCTATAAACACAGAATCAACACCCAAATCAATTACCAAGCATATCAAAATTTATGAAACAGAGTTAGTTAGAATGATGGGAGAAATTAAACGTACTTTCTTAAGACCCTTGGTCTTTGAAGCTTGTCGAGAAATTTCCATATCCACATCGTTGTCTTCATCTTGACCAAATAATGGAGCAGTACGAAGTGGAGGTCGAACTGATGATTGCCTTTTCATGAGTTGCAATCCGTACTTCTTCGTCATCTTCAATGTCATTCCCAGAACCAAAGAGTTAAATTTCTGAAAAATTAGGGCAGAGATCGATCAGCAATGAGAAGATTTGGCCCAAACCCTAACAGACTCCAACCAAAAACTAGTCGATCCGAAACTTGACAGACTCGATTAGGGTTCCGAATCAAATAACTGTGAGGAACAAGGAATGCAGAGAAAATATGCGGAAGAAAGTGAAAGATGAATTGAAGATAACAGGATCAAACAATATTTGTACGTTATCTCCAGTCCTAAATACTGTATACTAGTACAAATTTCCATTATTCTTTGTTAATATTAGAAGTTTTCCATTTTTGAAATTTCATTTTTCGTTTTCCAATATTAATAGTATATGACTAAAAATATTATAAAAAATGCAGGCTACGTATTATATATACAATATGATCATTGTTAATCATAAGCACAACATAAAACTTTTGTTGTTTTCTTTTTTGGTAAAATATGAAATGTTTATTTGAATTTTTTAGTTTATAAAATTATCTGATACAATTCGAGATTTTCTAATCTATTAAATGCATATCTCAGTTTTATTTCCGTGAAATTCTAAATATATAAGAGAAATAACACTTATAATATTGGACATTAGGCTCTTGGATGTTGAAGAAATTGCAAGTATAGAGAGGTTGCAAAAACTTTTGTTAAGGTTGAGATTCGAAGCGGAGAGACGACATCCTTCGATTCGACTCATGGACACACTTGGGAAGATTGATTGTCCAGTCCTAAATATACTACAAATTTCCATTCTTCTTTCTATAGTTAATATTTTAAATTTTCTATTTTCCAGTCTTGAAAGTCCTAATAAAACTTTTGTTGGTTTATTTTTTGGTAAATACATATGCTTACTTGATTATTTTTTTAGTTTATAAAATCATTTCATGCAATTCAAGATTTTTTGGTATTTTCTAATCTATTAAAATGTTTTATTTCCGTGAAATTCTAAATTTATAAGAGAAACATCACCTATATTATAAGTGTTGATAGAGCGTTAAACTGGTTATTTTGGTTATACTTTCTAAAATATTGATATATCTGTTTGGTCACACACTCAAAAGTCGTTTTGTCTTTCTATCAATCAATGGTCCAAATGTGTTTATTTATTTCGTTGTATTAATCACCCTATATGCAGTGCCGTGCCTACAACTCCAGAGGCCTATGGCAAAAAAATTAAATGTGGCCTATAAATTATTCTTAGAAAAACTAATAATGAAAATGTAATCTAAGGTTTTTGTAATGATTAAATAAAACTATATTATATATGTAGAAATTTTCTATATTGTCAAAAAAAAGTTGGTCAAAACAATAAGAAAATGTTAGCAGTGTCACGACTCGAACGACAACACCACTTCGTGATAAAAACAAACCACTAGACTGAAAACCAAATGCAAGATGTGGCCTAAAAATTAGTAGATAACATGTGGCCTTAGGCGGTTGCCTTTTTCCCAAAGGAGTAGGCACGGCACTGCCTATATGTAATATAAGTGTTGATAGAGCATTAGTTTATAATTACTTTATTAGAAACTAAAGTAGACCAATTGACAAATCCTGGAGGCGGAGTCCCCATAGCACCGGTGGATGGCTTGCCGTGCAAAGGACGATGAGCGGCGAAACAGAGCAAACCCTCAGAGGGGCTAGGGTGTTTTTAAGAGAACTTTTGACTTCTATTCCATAAATTCATTGTAATCTCATCTCGAAATCCTTCCATATATGGCCTAGAATCAATTATTTGGTCATCGTCTTGTACTTTTTTTTTTTTTTTTTTTTTTTTTTTTTTTTTTTTTTTTTTTTTTTTTTATGTCTTGTACTTTCACCTCTTCATTTAGTGATAGTTGATGATTACCATCTTGTTATACATAAAAAATGATCTTCATGGTTCATCAATGGAGTGTGTCGATGTACTCATTTCATTCAAGAAGAATTTGTTATCTTCGTGAAGGGTTTCTTGATCTTTTATGGTATAAAACAAGTTAACCCGTTAACGAGGAAAGTTTTGGTATCCCAAGAAGTGTGGAAATTCACTTCTTCTTTGTTCTTCTTAAAATTTGGTAATAAATGTGTCCATGTATGTTTGGATTTACTTATCTTATTATATAAAGTTTGTATAAAAAATTACGTGTGTTATTGGTCAATTAGTTTTTGACATGTATAAAAAAAGTTAATCCATTAAGCATAGATATTAAACTATAAAATATGAATGTTGAAGTTCTAAATAACAATATAAGTTATTTAACATTAATTAATTGGAAAAAATGTTTTTATGATACTATTGTAATTTTATCCGTAAGTGAAAACATCAAAAAAAAAAAACTAATGATGAGTGTATAAGAACAAATTTTAGATTACTTTGTGTTAGTATATATTTTTATGTTTAATTTATAACTGTTAATGTATTAAAAAAGTTTATTACTTCACAGATTATAGCGCATAGCAAAATATATTTAACACAACGTTGGTTATCCAAAAATTGTTTTGGATTGATTAATTTTTTTTCCCTATTAAATGTGTTTTATTAATTCATTAATTCTTTTTTAATACTAAGTTACTAACTGAGTGAGATATAATAGATTTGATATGTTGGACATCTTATTTTGATATAAAACTTTTAGTTTATCCTAATCTAGTTGTTGATGTATCGTGGATATTTCAATTCGATTCGAAATCAATGAATAAATGAATAATAAAAATAATGGATCTACTGAATTGGAAAACGTCATGTAGTTTTATCATATCTTCTATCTGAAAAACAACACGCATGTTATAGCATTTTGAATGAGAAAAGAGAGGCTTATAGCATACATTTTCCAAAAGACAACAAATCTTTTTAAAAATTTATAGTCTTTTAGTTGCTTGATAATTAAGTTTTTATTTTCATATATTAGAGTGGTTAGTAATTACAAAAACAAAAAGTCAAAAAGATATAGTATATGGAACTTAAGTAGATGTGCATATCTACTTTGGTAACCGTTACAAAAATGTGAAGTTCGCAATTTTGTCTTTGTATATTACTCCTTCCGTTTCGTTTTAGTTGTCGTTTAAGGTTTTTTCACACAAATTAAGAAAACATTAAATTTTCTGTTTTACCCTTTATTAATATATTTTATAAAAAATTTCATTGGCCAAAACATTAAAACAGTAGGGATAAAACTGGAATTTTCACCAAACATTTACATTGAAAACCTAAAACGACAACTATTATGAAACAAAATTTAAATATTAAAATGACAACTAAACTGAAACGGAGGGAGTACTTCTTTCAATTGCTAATTAATGTTAACAAGAAACAATGATATTTTATTTTGATAAAACGACATTAATAAAAAAATTATATAAATTGTCGGTCATTGTTGAGATGGCAAATCACAAAGAGTCATTGTTGGAACATTAAAATTATGATCCTCTAGTTTTACTTTAAAATATTGCAAATGAATAGTCCGGGTCCGTTTGTTAAACATTGAAATAATATTGTGTTAAGATACTTCAAGTTATAAAAACAGTTTAGTTGTATTAGGCTTTCTAAGCCAATTCCAACTCCCCATTAGTATGATATTGTCCGCTTTGGGCCTACATGCTCAAGCCCGCACGGATTTCTTATTGGGTTCCTTCCCAAAAGGCCTCATACTAATTGGAGTTGGAATCTACTTATATATTAGAAACTTATTTTCTAAACTTCCGATGTGGGACGTTGGTTTGTACCCAACAATCTCCCCTTCAAACCACGGACCACGAACATTGGGCTTCCTCTTCAGCGAAACCTTAGTACCATAACTCGGTACCTTCTTGATCGCGAAGTTCTTGAGGCACCTTCTTATCGTGTCACATTTGAGGGCTTCTCCCACACCGATCATAGGCCCAAGCCCCTAGGTCCATATTTTTCAACCTAGGCTCTGATACACCATTTATTAGGCTTTCTAAGCCCATTCCAACTCCCCATTAGTATGATATTGTCCGCTTTGGGCCTACATGCTCAAGCCCGCACAGATTTCTTATTGGGTTCCTTCCCAAAAGGCCTCATACTAATTGGAGTTGGAATCTACTTATATATTAGAAACTTATTTTCTAAACTTCCGATGTGGGACGTTGGTTTGTACCCAACAAGTTGTTGTGTCACTTTCATATGATACTTAAACTTCTATCATGAGTCATGACTAATGTATTGGCTAATGTAAAATGATCGAATTAAATCCAGTGTTGTATATATGACTTGCGAGGTTATAAACATTCACTTATTCTACCAACAAACAAAAAAAAAGAGTCAGAAAACTATATAATTATCAGTTTTTCAAAGAAGAAAAAAAGATTGAAACACCGACAAACATGACTTTTTCAGTTTTTCTATTATACTAACCTCTAATGGTAATTTACTTAATTTAGTTTGTGCTTAATAAAAAAAAAATAGTGTATATGATTAAATTGTTTTAACATTACACATAAAAACATCAAACCACGTATATGATCTACAATTACCTCGAAAACTTTAATAATACAATTATACCTTCTAAGATGATTTCAAGAGTTGAACAAAAAAAAAGATGATTTCAAGATTGAGAAAATAAGTACTCAAATTTTAGAAAGTTTACAGAAAAAATAAAATTCATTGCAAGAATATCTATACTTTTTCTTATCATCCAACCTATATAAAGTCTTATCATACAGCTTCAATTTGTTTTCTAAAGAGTTTTTAACAAATTGTGTGATGTTTCTATCAGTTAAACTAATGAAACTAAACACTTGCAAAATTCATCTAAAGAACATTTTAACCCAAATAAAAGTCAAGTAATTTTTTTAATGTTAATTAACAGTAAAATTTTGATATAATTAATCTTTGTTCTGGCCTAAGCTATTATCGAAAAAGTGGGTTTATTTTCATTTGGGTAAATTGCAGGCCAGGGCATAAGACCATCTTTTAATTTCATGGTTTGGCAAAGTGAGAATTGGTTTTCAAGTTTTGACAATTTAGCCAAAATCTGACCATTTTACCCCTGCCAGCGTAACGATGTACTGTTCACTGTACGGTTCAGTTATGCGGTTCAGTTACGTACACTGTTCCGGTTCAGTTATGCGGTTCAGTTATGCGATGTACTGTTCACTGTACGGTTCAGTTATGCGGTTCAGTTACGTACACTGTACACTGTTCACTGTATGGTAATTGTGTGCAATTTAGTATTGGAAGATCTGTTTTACCTAAATCAGAGTACGATTGTTGAATTAACCAATGTTGCAATTTAAGAATTTGTAAATATTACACGTACGTTGCCTCAACAATGCTACATACTCTGAAAGACGTACACGTCCATATACTCAAAGGCATCATTCTAACTTTGTATTCATCTTTAACCTGGTTTCTTCTTCGGCAACTTTAATTTTGTGGCCATTGTTCACAATTTTCTTATAATCTTTTGTTTTTTTACATTTAATTTATTTATTGATTTTGTAAATCTAGTTTATATTAGCGTATTTTGAAGTCGAAAAACTAAAATACAAACTCTATAAATATTACGTACACCGTCTCCACAATAGTACATGATATAGCTGAAGTACATATCCATTTTATAATCAATACTGTGTATACCGTAAATTACATACACGTAAATAGAAAAAACTCAAATAAGGACATATTTCTACCAAAAATATCTTACCAATTTCATACAAGTTTTCTACGAACTCAATTAAAAAAATATTAATAATTTGTTTTCAGTAAATAATTGAAATCAACTATGATCAATACACAAATTGACTCTAATGAGACTCACAAAACTCCAGCTCTGTTACGCAATTTACATAATCATATGTCAAATACGAGAAGCAGTAGAAACAAACCTCACAACTAAAGAAAAACATTGAGGAATAGTATGTTTTAACGTGACACAGAGCCGTGTGTGGTTTGAAAATCTTAAACACTTGTCAGTAGATGATTCGCTTTTCCATTTTATAAATATTTATTGTTTTTATATTTTTAGTTAAAATTCTTTTTTTTCTATCAGACCCATTTTCATATTTTTTATTTCTATTTTAAATAATATTTTATTTATTATCATCGAAGACTATTCACGATTAGCAATATCATATACACATATGTGCGTAACGGTAATAATATATACGTACACGGTAGTAATGTGTACGTACACGGTAGTAATGTGTGTGTATATATGTACGTAAATATCTAAATAATTTGTATATGTACGTAAATATCTAAATAATTTGTCCAATCCGATAAACAAAGTGTGAATATTATGTACATGATGTGGGAGCTTGTTGATGAAACTAACCTTGGGTTAGAGATGAAAACACAACAAAAACTATATTTGAGGTACCAAATGTAGATGAAAACAATGAGGAAGTCGATGAGGAAGAAGAAGTCGAGGACGATAAAGAGGATGAACAGAAAGAGATTGGGGATGACGAAGAGCGCGTTGAAGATGACGATTAAAAACGATAGTAAAGGTAGTAGCAAAGATTACATTACAATAGATGGACTGAATTTTTGTTGAGAAATATGGGATATGACATGTCAGAGATGTTGGTGACACTCTACTTACCGTGGAGCTAATATGAAAATTCAGTTAATTAAAAGAATCGTGTACATATACTAATGAATGTATACGAGATTGAAAAATCATCGATAATTTTGGAGAGAATTATGACATTCAACCATTTGTGAGTCATAATCAAAAGGGAAGACATCATTTTTGGAAGAATTCAATGATTTAGTCAATGTCCGACTTGATGAAACAGAAGTATAAATTAGTATGACATGAGAGACATTGTAAGTTGTGAGTATGTTTAGAAACACTTATTTTTTTGCAAATAACAATGTCTTCATCTCCAGTAGGACTATCGTAGAATATTGGTTTATTATTATATCAATAAATATATCTCAACAATTTTAACTCATCAACAAATATATACATACATTATTATACATGTACGTACATAACTTTTTTAAAGTATGAGGAACAACTATACATTGACCATATATTTTTAGTTAATTATTATATATGCATAGATTTTATGGGGAAAACCCCAAAAAATATCCCATCTAAACGAAATAACCAAAGATTTCTAATGTACAAACTCAATAAATAATTGTGTATGCCGCTTTTACAATAAAACATAATCTAACATATTTACATGTCCACATGTACGTACACTGTAAATTATAAATACGTACACATAAGAAATTTAATAAAGGGTATAATTGTAATTTTGCAATCGTCTTCAACCTCTGTAACCCTAATTTTGCAGCCACTTGTTAACAGTTATCTCAGAAATCTTAATTTTTTTAGATTTACGTTTTGAATGCTTAATACATCTAAATATTATACATCTAGCATATTTTAAGTTCAAAAAGATAAAGAGTTTGAGATTTGTTTAATTATCTAGTGGTTAAGTCAATTTCCGAACTCGTACTGAGACACAATCGAAAATTCCGCCACTTAAACACGAACTCGAACTCGAACAGAGACTCAATCGAAAATTGCGACACTTAAACAACAACTCGAATTCGAACAGAGCCTCAATCGGAATTCTAATAAATGTTCAACACGATCTGGGTTTCAGTTTTTTCGTTTGTTCTGTAATAATATTTTTGGCTTTATTTTATTTTTTAAAAACCAAAACGTAACCAGCAAAACAAACTCAACGAAACTGAACAGTCCCCTTGCAATTGTCGTTAGGGGCATTTTCGTCCTAAAAACCCTTAACTGTCAATCCATGAGAAAGAAATCTCACTTTGCCAAACGGTGAGAGTAAATGTTTTTTTCAACATAAACGTGAAAATTTCTTTTTTCATTTTTTAGTAAGTGGAGAGTTTCCATGGAAGAAGCAAAGAACAAAGAGTATTATTCTGTTTCTATGACAGTGAAAGCTAGAAGAATACAGCCACGCTCCAGTTGGCGGTCCACAGCTTCTTTTTATCCTTTTCGTTTTTTCTCTATTTTCCAAAATATAGTATTTAGTCACGTTTCATCAAGTATCATTGTATCATGTAAATATCAATTTAATAGTAATATTTAATTATTTATATAAATACTCCATGATATATACCGCCGACGCAGAATTAAAGTGTATAAATACGGTCTCTACTGAGTTAAGTCTTAAAGTCACATGTTAAAGTGATTATCTTCAAGCCGTTTATAAAAGTAGGATTGATAGTTGCTTGTTCGCCCAATATTTATCATATTTGTTCGTCTCGACAACTCTTTTTTTTTTTTTAACGAATTATCAAATTTTGATAAGTTTATAAATCTATGATCCTATCATTTTATATGCTTTAGCTAATTGTTTTGCATTTCGGATATGTCCAAATTTTTCTATCTTAATTATAATCATTTGCGTTTGAATTAAAGAATTTGATTGATCAAAAAAAAAAAAGCTGATGAAGAAAAATAGTAAAATACCATGTATTCTTTTGTAAAATACATATGATTGCTAATCGTATCTACATATATTTTTATGACTAACCAGAGACATTATTTGTATTCGATTGAAATGCAAGCTTTAATCAAGTTCGCCAAACCATGATATTAACACCATCGTCCTAATTATCAGTTCTTATTCTAAAAGATGTACTAAGATTGTAGTAGACGAACATGGGTATACTCAGTTTGATGTATCCGAATTCGCACAATCGGAATCTGCCAGAAGTTTACAAGTGGATTTAACTTATTCTACAGATATGCCTTCAAATATCCTAAATATGATGGCCACTCGAACTCGACTTCGTGATCGAGCTATGCATCAACAACTGAAATCTGATTTGGTTGAGCATATATGGAAATTTTTTTGCAACAATCAAGTTTAAAACTATTAAGGTTTATGTCATGTATGTTATAAATTGTATGTCATGTATATTAAAATTTTACCATTTGCAATAAGTATGAAGTTTTCTAAAATTAAAATTGTTTATTTTATTTCTTTTTTAAATTATTCTTTTTTTTTTCTTTAAGAACCACAACTTAAGAGTCTAAGAGCATGATTATTGGTAGTATCTTAGAAATAAATCTTAGGAATATTTAAGTAATATATTTGTAAAAGTGATAGGTAAGAGATAGTATTTTTGGGTTAAGATTTTTGTGTGATTAATGGTAGGTTCTTAACATGTGGTTCTTAGAAAAAAAATATTAAATAAAAATAAAATTTATACGTATCAAAACATATCACTTTTATCAAACAGAAAATACGTAGAAAAAAAAATATTAATATAAAAATAAAATTTATACGTATCAAAACATATCACCAAAACATATCACCAATTGACCAAAACATATCACCAATTGACCAATAAAATTTATACGTATCAAAACATATCACCAATTGACAAAACATATCAAAAAATAAAATTTATACGTATCAAAACATATCACCAATATAAAAATAAAATTTATACATATAAAATTTATACGAATCAAAACATATCACCAATACGTATAAAAACATATCACTTTTAACCAATCACAATGTGACACCTTGCAACATCTTAAGTTAAGAAAAACATCTTAACTTAGATACAAATCTTAGCTTTAAGATGTTGGTTTGATTATTTTTAATCAACTTTAATCCTAAGATTTGTCTAAGATACTCAACATTTCAACCAATATTCATGCTCTAAGAGCACCATTATTGGTGGTATCTTAGATAGTTCTTAGCTTATTATCTTAGAATTAAACATTGAAAAATATATCAAACAGATTAAAATGCTAAGATTTGACTCTTAACTAAGAGCTTTTGGGAGTGTTAAGAGCTAAGATTTGACTCTTAACTTACAAAAACTAAAATTTTAATCTTAAACAATGTTAAGAGCTAAAGTTAAGTCCATCATCAACAATGGTCTCTTAGTATTAACTCTTATGATTTGTTTTAATATTTCTAAGATACTATGGATAATCATGCTCTAACATTGGACACACAAAAAATTTAAAACCATTATACAACCTTTTAAATATAAATTTTTCAAAAACTAATATTAAAACAAAACATTATGTAGAAGGCCTTAAGGCGCGTAAAGAAGAGCGAAAAAGCGAAACAGACGAATCTAAAATCTCTCAGTCGCGACAGCTTCCGGCTACTACAGGATCGCCGCCATGACATTTCTTCTCCGGCTCTCTGTTTCTGAGGTTAGTTTGTATCTTTCATCGATCATCTCTTCTTATTCTTCTACTTGATTCAGTTACGATAGTACCAAGACATTGCTCGCGAAGCTTGCTGGTTGATGTTTACTTGTAACCCTAATTTTCCATGGGTTTGGCTCTATCGGTTCCTTTTTATGTTTAGATGAGCAATATGATAGCGATTCTGGAGAATTTGTGAAGGAAATCAGTGGAAATGAGATAATTTAGGGATTTAAGTGAGTAATTTGGATTGTTGGAGATATTTTAGGGTTTTGATGTTGTCGATGTTGTAGTTTGGCTCTGTCGGTTCCTTTTGATGTTTTGATGAGCAATATGATAGCGATTCTGGAGATTTGGAAAGGAAATCAGTGGAAATGAGATAATTTAGGGATTTAAGTGAGTAATTTGAATTGTTGGAGATATTTTAGGGATTTGATGTTGTAATCTCACAATTTTCTGCAAATTAGAGTCGTTTTATCGAGTATTCTAACTTTAAATTGCCTTCCACCGTTTGATTTCAGATTGGCAAACATGTCAGTTCTTATTCGGACAAGCCTAGGGGATATAGTGATTGATCTCTACACAGATAAAGCCCCTAAAACCTGCAATAATTTTCTCAAGCTATGCTGTATGAAGTATTACAATGGGTGCCTTATCCACACAGTAAAGGATTCCATAGCAGAAACAGGTGATCCAACAGGAACAGGGTCTGGTGGAGACTCAATATACAAGTGAGATGATGTTTTTCTTACTTTCTGATGATATGGAGACTGTTTTTATATTATCCTAACCCATCTTGTCCCTCTTTTTGTTGAATATCCAGATTTCTTGAAGGTGACCATGCTCGGTTCTTCAGCGAAGAGATTCGCCCTGAATTGAAACATTCTAAGACTGGCACTGTTGCTATGGTTAGTTCTGGAGAAAATCTGAATGCTTCCCAGGTTAGCCCAAATACTTTGCTTGAATTACCAAGTTTTATGAAGGGTCCTGTGGATTAACTTTTGCTGTGTCGTATGTCCTTATGTGATTTGTTTGTTTCCTTTTCAGTTCTATATCACACTTTGCGATGATCTAGACCATCTTGATGGGAAACACACTGTAAGCACTAAGCACAAATTATTAATGATCTGCCTATTCTTTGTTTTGTCTATATATATATATATCAGTTACGGCCCTTTTTCAGGTGTTTGGGGAGACTGTCGAGGGGTTTGACGTTTTGACTAGGATAGCCAAAGCTTCTGTTGATGCGAAGAACAGACCCTGTAAAAACATAAGAATAAAGCACACATATATACTTGAAGATCCATTTGATGATCTCCCACAACTGGCTAAATTGATACCAGATACTTCCCCTGAGGGAAAACCGAAGGAAGAGGTCACAGATGACGGGCGACTCGAATATGATTGGGTTCCAACAGATGAAGAACTTGGTCCTCAGGAACTGGAGGAGGTCATCAACAAAAACGCTGCCCATTCAAGTGCTGTTTTACTTGAAACTGTAAGCCGGTTGCTCTCTTTTGATGTTATATCAAATCATGTTTCATGCTTGACCCTTGTATTGCTGTTGCAGATAGAAGATATCCCTGAGGCTGTGGAGGATTCTAGCACTTTGCTTTACATATGGGGTTTGAATCCTTGTACTGATGCAGATGGCCTCAACACCATTTTTTCCCGCTTTGGAACAGTCATCTCGTGAGTGATTTACTCTCTGTTTCCTTATCAGTTTGGGAAACACAATATCTCAACTTTTCTGCATATGGTAGGGTTCGAATCCTCCGGGATCGCAAGACTGGTGAGAGCTTAGGTTGTGCATTAATCCAGTTTGAAAATGAGGTTGCAAGCAAAGAAGCCCGTCTTGTGATGGATAATTGTACTATCGATGATAGAAGAATATCCGTAGAAATTGAGGACTGCTTTGTGGAAAGTATTTCACATACCCGGGAAAAAGAAGAACATCATGCTTCACATTTCCGGTGGAGAGAGGAACGGCATAGTCATACTTCTCTCTCTCCCTCTCTCCTTGTGTCTTCATGCTAAACCTTCATAATTTCATTTCTTAGCAGGGGCCTTACTCTGCACGTATAAAGAAAGTGGAGGAAGAAATCAATGAGCTCGCCGAGAAGATCAACAATCTTTGTAGTATGTTCGCACTCTTTGTTGCTGAAGTCTTGGGCTTGCTTGGAATTAGTGACCTCTGTTTAGAGCATGACTGAAGTGAAGCTTTTCACTTTCATTTGAAGGTATCAAGGAGTCTGATACTGATACTGGGTTATCTCTTCCCAGTCAATGGGATCTCCTAGCTGATAAACAGATGATTGTTGAGGAGCAGCCTCTGCATGTAGGCATTTTCTTCTTATATACTGCTATGAATTTTGCTTCTTCTCTCATCGCAACAATAAGGGATTAAAGTCACCGTTTTTCCTATTCAGGTTGCGACATGCACACAGATAATAAGTCCAAATACTGAAGACGCAAAGTATGTCGTTGATATGGAAAAGATAGGCAAGGTAAACTATATCCATAGGTTGATGTTGCTGCATGACCAATTGTGTGTTGTAGAACATTTTGGTGTTTGGTTTATTACTGACATTAGTTTTTCTTCTTAACTGCAGTTTGTTGTTGGACTTGGCGATAAATCTTCTCCCACTGAGATAGAAGTAGGAATGCGTGTGGGGTATGTTTCCCTCTGTATTGCTTCAAGGCAAACCCTCTTTGTCGCTGTACATTTCTCATATGGAGGAAAACTGACAAGAACGTTATAATCTCTGATCTGTAATTGCAGAGTTGATAGGAAGAAATATCAGATACAGATTCCTCTACCTCCAAAGACTGATCCTCGTGCTATCATGATGACGGTTGAAGAGAAACCGGACATAACTTACTGTGATATCGGTGGCTGCAAGGAGCAGATTGAGAAGATTAGAGAGGTATGTTGAGCTTAGTTAATAAATCAAATTTGGTGTCCTGATCTTCTCAGTTTAACACCTAGAGTTGTTAACTTACTGTTGGGGTATAGGTTTTCAAGAAATAAGTTTTAAAAAGTTTTGTTGCATTTTGTTGATTGTAGGTCGTTGAACTACCAATGCTTCATCCAGAGAAATTTGTGAGGCTTGGGATAGATCCTCCCAAGGGCGTTCTTTGCTATGGTCCTCCGGGTACTGGAAAAACCCTTGTGGCTAGAGCAGTAGCTAATAGAACCGGTGCTTGCTTTATCAGGATTATTGGCAGTGAGCTCGTTCAGAAGTACATCGGTGAAGGAGCTAGGATGGTTCGTGAACTGTTTCAGGTAGTTAGTTGTAAAAAAACCTTCTCTCCATATCAGTTTTGTCTTAGCTAATTAATGTTGTTCTGAATTTGTATAATACTGTCTTTCCAGATGGCACGCTCAAAGAAAGCTTGCATTTTGTTCATTGACGAAATCGATGCCATTGGTGGTGCAAGATTTGATGACGGTGTAGGCGGTGATAATGAAGTCCAACGTACTATGCTTGAGATTGTGAATCAGCTTGATGGGTTTGAGTGACGCACGTGGTAACATCAAGGTTCTTATGGCAACAAACAGGTCAGTCCACAATCCAAAAGCACATTATAGCGCTTGACTTGACGCATTCATGTTTATGTTGTTCACTCTCTTGACTCCAGGCCTGACATACTGGACCCTGCTCTTTTACGTCCTGGACGTCTTGACCGCAAGATTGAGTTTTGTCTGCCTGATCTGGAGGGCAGAACACAGATCTTCAAGATTCACACACGAACCATGAGCTGTGAAAGAGACGTCCGGTTTGAACTCCTTGCTGGTCTCTGCCCAAATTCAACAGGTAATGATCCCAACCATCAAAGAGCTCTCATCATGTTTTTTTTTTTTGGGTCTCATTGAGATTTGTTCTGACTTGGATTTTGTTAATCTGTTTTGCAGGAGCTGATATCAGAAGTGTGTGCATAGAAGCCGGAATGTATGCAATCGGAGCTAGGAGAAAGGCTGTGAGTGAGAAAGACTTTCTGGACGCAGTGAACAAAGTGGTTAAAGCCTTAAAGGCTATCAAAAGTTCAGTGCAACTCCCAAGTATATGGCCTACTACATTTAGAGAGATTGAGAGAAGTCAGGTTTATTTCTTCACGAAGCTCCAGAATCAAAACTCACAAACATTCTTATGATTTGTGTCTATATCATTTCTTTTACAGAACTGTTTTTTAAAAGCATTTGGAAACATATATTACAATAAAACAGAGGAATTTGGGAAACATATTATTACTGTTCAACATAATACAAAGAGAGAAAAAAGAAGAGTGCATAATGTACACTGTTACATGATCATCTTAGGACACTAACTATGAATTATACTTTGGAGCCAGGTCACCTTTTATTGGGCTACTGTACAAAGATTGCTTCTTGAAGTTCTGGTATGGTGAAATTCCACTTCTTTTGATTGCATTTTAGGTTCTCTTGGGTTTTATATGTGTTTAATACAAATTAAAGGTTACAAATGTAATTAGTAAATACATAAGGTCTCTCATATGTATCTCTATATGTAGATTGTACAGTCATTAACGTAATAATGGAATTCAAGACCTTAAACCTACACAGTTGGTTCTTCCTGACTTGAGTCAATGTTAGTCTTATCGAACTATTTGAATCCATCTCGAAATTCGTGGCATTTAAATTGATTTTCTAGACCATATTAGGGAGGTAACAAGCCAAATGTTTAACAAACGTTGGCATGTAAAGTGGTGTAACTAAAATTGTGTTCTTAAAAGTATATTGAGAAGGCCAAGAAGCCAAGGCATGAAAAGAGAATCTAGTTTAGAAGATAAAGCGAACTTGTATGACCAACAAAGGAATAACATTATCCAGTAAATCAATTTTAAACTTTCCAATTACAATCCTTGGCTTTGCCTAGGTACATTTTCAGAGTGGAGGCAAATCCTATCGTAAATGTTAAGTTGATCATTTGTAATAAGAAATTTTTTGAAGTATCTTTCAATGTGTTGAATCCTCTATCATACTCGGTCCTTTAAACAATATAGAACTGAAAGCATAAACTAGAGAAATCTTTAAAACAAGAGTTAAACACTTACATAAGTTTTAAATTCTCAACATAGTCTAGAGAGGTGTAAACTCTCGTACGCTTAAACATTTTAAGACCTTGTACTTGAACTCTTGTGAGACTCTTGCTCTCTAGGTTGAAGTAATAAACGTAAAATGCGTCTACCAGACAGTACGGTGTCAACACAACTTCACCTCCAGCAGTCATTCCAACAATGACTAACTCGGTACGCTTAACTTCGTTGTTCCAAAAAGGAGGCAATGTGTAGATATCTTTGGACCATATATATTTTTGAGCATCTTGTAGAACCCAGAACTCAAGACGTTTTGGAGGCAAAAATGAAAACTGAAGTGCACCTAGTTTACCCTTGTAGTTGATCAAAGTACAAGAAGCAGTCATCAACATGGATTCATCTATGTTGATAAAGCTAAACTTCTCAGACCTAACATCAAAGCACACTATCATAGAAACGCTTATCCGCATATCGAACCCTGCTGTATAATACAAAGTACCATCTATGCAAATTCCATCAGATTTAGGATAATGGGGTTTGCATTGGATTGTTCTCCATAAATGTTTTCCATTCTCCAATGTCAAAACTTGATGCTCATCACACGTATTTGGGATATCATCGAACTTGATGCACAATACTTTTAACTGTTTGTCGATCGGATCATACCCTAAATAAGGTCTTGTCTCAGTATTAACGCTCTTCAACTCCACCTTAGGTAAGGATACAAACTCTCCTGTGACAGGGTTGCAAATAACCATAGTATCTAGACTTCCCATATCTCGACTACAGACGAATCCACGAAGAGGAGAGCTAACTTCAGATGAAAAATCTGTAGGAGAATGGTTATGGTGAACATGATAACGGGTTGGTACAAGAGATGTGTTCTCATCTGGAGGATTCTGAGGGTGAGGTGAAGAGAAGAAGAACAACTTGCCGTCATCTTCCAAGGTGAAAAAGAGCAGAGGATGACGAATCGAAGACGTATTCAAATACAACTCCGTGAAATCAGGATGGCAAAGTATTGAATCCCAGAATTTCGATACGCAACGAGACCTAGCTATAGACTTTGCAGGAACTCTGGAAAATATATACATGAGGACATCGATTGGGATTTCTCTTCCCGAAGATTGTGTTTCAAGATTTTTCATGGCAACCCTAACAACTTCAAAGCAAAATCTTCCTAGGTTGTGTGACTGAAGCAGCAAGTAATCAGTGATCTAGAAATCAAACCCAGAAATCAGATTCAAACTACAACTATCAGTGATCAATAATCATGAAATCAAACCCAGAAATCAAAAATCAAATCTAGAAATCAGAAATCAGAGAAACAAACCCAGATAGGAGCCGATCGAGGGAGAAGAGATGCAGGGAGGCGTTAAAAGAACAGAATCGAATACGATGCGGGGAAGAAACTGAAAGATGAAAATTAACAGGATATAACGTTATGTCCGGTCCTAAATTGAAAGTGAAAGATAATACAATATACGTTATGTCCGGTCCATTCTTCTTTGTCTACTTTATATTAGAAAATTTTCTATTTTTCAAAATTCCATTTTCTGTTTTCTAAATTTACTCTATTGAATACGTATATGACTTTTGTTTTTCATATAATAATATACATAGGTTCTTATTTTTGTAATTATTTATAAATTAATTTATAATTTGTGGTTTTATATAATGTAATTGGTTCGGTGTATATTAAATGCAGACTACGTATATATATACAATATGATTATTGTTAATCAGAAGCACAACATAAAGCTTTTGTTGTTTTCTTTTTTTTTTGAATATGAAATTTTCATTTTAATAAACAGGGTATTTTTGTTATACTTTGTAAAATATTGATATATATATACAATTGAAAATAATAAAAATAATAGATGTTCTTTTTTTGTCATTGATTCTTCTCCATATTTGTTTTTTGAATTAAGTTTTCTTTTTTATTCATCCTATTTTTTTCGTTATTCTGATTGATTTAAATTTTGATATGAAATGAACTATTTATAGTTGAAGCAAAAACTAAAATGAAAACGTAACAACTATGAAGTTCGAAGAGTTGGCTACAACAACACGATAATCATTTTAAGGTGGAAGAGTATGGCACAATATTTTTTGTTCATTAGATTATTAGTTGAAAGATAAATAATCATATTTAAAATGAATTTAATTATTGGTTGGACTCACATTAGGATTCCAAATCATATATATAATTGTAAATAATACAAAATTTGAAATTTAGACACTTTGAGTCTAAATCAACCAATTGAAGACACTTATAGGTGTCTAAATAACTTCTAAGAGTCTAACTTTAGACATGAGTCCAATGTTTTCTATTGTTTTTTATTTCAATTTTAGACATTTTTGTTTTAGATCTCATACTTAGAGCTCCCAATAATCATGCTAATGTGTCAATTATATATAAGTTTTTTCATATGGCACACATAATGTGTCAAATATATATAAGCTTTTTTAAGTTGGTGTACCCTAAAACCATCATCAACAATGGTCTCTTAGTATTAGCTCTTATGTTTTGTTTTAATATTAGTTTTTGAAAAATTTATACTTAAAAGGTTGTATAATGGTTTTAAATTTTTTGTGTGTCCAATGTTAGACTCTTAAGTTGTGGTTCTTAAAGAAAAAAAAAAAAGAATAATTTAAAAAAGAAATAAAATAAACAATTTTAATTTTAGAAAACTTCATAATTATCGCAAATGATAAAATTTTAATATACATGACATACAATTTATAACATACATGACATAAACCTTAATAGTTTTAAACTTGATTGTTGCAAAAAAATTTCCATATATGCTCAACCAAATCAGATTTCAGTTGTTGATGCATAGCTCGATCACGAAGTCGAGTTCGAGTGGCCATCATATTTAGGATATTCGAAGGCATATCTGTAGAATAAGTTAAATCCACTTGTAAACTTCTGGCAGATTCCGATTGTGCGAATTCGGATACATCAAACTGAGTATACCCATGTTCGTCTACTACAATCTTAGTACATCTTTTAGAATAAGAACTGATAATTAGGACGATGGTGTTAATATCATGGTTTGGCGAACTTGATTAAAGCTTGCATTTCAATCGAATACAAATAATGTCTCTGGTTAGCCATAAAAATATATGTAGATACGATTAGCAATCATATGTATTTTACAAAAGAATACATGGTATTTTACTATTTTTCTTCATCACCTTTTTTTTTTGATCAATCAAATTCTTTAATTCAAACGCAAATGATTATAATTAAGATAGAAAAATTTGGACATATCCGAAATGCAAAACAATTAACTAAAGCATATAAAATGATAGGATCATAGATTTATAAACTTATCAAAATTTGATAATTCGTTAAAAAAAGAGTTGTCGAGACGAACAAATATGATAAATATTGGGCGAACAAGCATCTATCATGTATTGCGTTTTTTTTTTTGATAATCACTTTAACATGTGATTTAAGACTTAACTCAGTAGAGACCGTATTTATACACTTTAATTCTGCGTCGGCGGTATATATCATGGAGTATTTATATAAATAATTAAATATTACTATTAAATTGATATTTACATGATACAATGATACTTGATGAAACGTGACTAAATACTATATTTTGGAAAATAGATAAAAAACGAAAAGGATAAAATGAAGCTGTGGACCGCCAACTGGAGCGTGGCTGTATTCTTCTAGCTTCCACTGTCATAGAAACAGAATAATACTCTTTGTTCTTTGCTTCTTCCATGGAAACTCTCCACTTACTAAAAAATGAAAATAAACCCACTTTTTCGATAATAGCTTAGGCCAGAACAAAGATTAATTATATCAAAATTTTACTGGTAATTAACATTAAAAAAGTTACTTGACTTTTATTTGGGTTAAAATGTTCTTTAGATGAAGTTTGCAAGTGTTTAGTTATATTAGTTTAACTGATAGAAACATCACACAATTTGTCAAAAACTCTTTAGAAAACAAATTGAAGCTGTATGATAAGACTTTATATAGGTTGGATGATAAGAAAAAGTATAGATATTCTTGCAATGAATTTTATTTTTTCTGTAAACTTTCTAAAATTTGAGTACTTATATATTTTCTCAATCTTGAAATCATCTTAGAAGGTATAATTGTATTATTAAATTTTTTAGAGTTAATTGTAGATCATAGGTGGTTTGATGT